GCATATACTTAAAATTGGAAAAATATTCTAAATGTCATAAAAAATTATATTTTATGTTGTTTGAATCAAAAAATGTACTTCTGAAAATATTACGAAGTTTCATCTTTATACAGTCCACTCCAGTTTACAGTGAGTCATATTTAGTAAAATACTTTTTACACACTAAAATTTAAACATAAATGTTCCACACTTCTCCTAGTAAAACTAACAGAACTTTAAATGCCGCTTTAAACAGATTGAGCTTTAAAGGTTACTTCTTTAAACAATTTCAGATCATTTCAATAGTCGCCTCGTCAATCAACGCATGGCACATCCAAGAGGCGAAAGCTGTTTGGTCTAAAATAATAAAATTCAAAGCTTCATATCTGGGTCAGTTTTAGTCGCAGAGGAATGGATGTTTTCTTATTTAAAATTTATTTATCATTTTCTTTTAGAATATTTTACTAAAATATTAGCGTATCAAGAATTATTTACTAAATTATTAGCGTACCAAGAATATTTTACTAAAATATTAGTGTATCAAGAATATTATACTAAAATATTAGTGTATCAAGAATATTTTACTAAATAAAGTCTGGGGACTTGACAAAAATTAGACTTTGTAATTTTTTCCGCGGTATATTTATGCACTTGAAAAGCATAAATATATAATTCTTTACATGATTTAAAATATTTTTTTCCATTCTAAATATACACTACTGACCACAATTATTGCAAGATTGGTAAAATACGAACCATTAGGAGTTAATTTGAATACAATGGTTCACAATCAGTTGTGGAGGATCGTGGGAATTTACATTTTACTGGGAAGATTTAATAACGAGGACAATAGGGGACCATCCTCAAATTGATGAAGAAGAAAGTGGTTTGGGCTCAGCCAGTTTCACAGGAAGCTGATAATGTTTAGAAATTTTCAGCGATCATTTTGCTTCTTCTGTACATTGCTCACATGCATTTTCGTAAAAATTGCGTAAATATCCGGGAAGATAGAAAGGTTTCTTTAAAATATCCCAAATTGTTCGCATGTTTTTTGCTTATAACATGCAGATTTTTCAGCCAAATTTTGAGAAAATTACAGAATAGTCGACAATATGTTGGAAAAACATTGTATTAAAATTTTAAGTAAATACCTTGAATATTTGAGGAAACGTTATTATTTGTAATAAATACTTTTTAACAGTACATGCGCGAAATATAGCAATTTTAATACGATGTAAAATGAACTCAAATTTTAATACGATGTAAAATTTCTTTCATGAAGTTGAAGTCAGATATCTAAAGCAGTTGATATAAAAATTGCAGATCAATACCATTAAGATTTAGAAAGTTATACGCTTTGCAGCCAGCAGAATTTGCAGCAGAGAACCAGCAGATATGTTGTTCTGAGAAACAAAATGAGAGGTTTTTCAAAAACTTGAATCTTCGAACAGAAATATTGCATTTTATGAAAGATGAATATCCCGAGTACCCATCTCCACTTATAAATTAAATGCATAATTAAAATTACAACTTGATGTTTAATATTCGAAGATTGAAGTGTAAAAATATTGATTTGTGAAAAAAGCCCCTCATCATTTTTTTTTCTCTTAAAGAAAAACAGAAATTCTGGTGACTGCAATGACTAAAATTTTCTAAATCTTAATGGTATTGAACCGAAATTTTTAAATAAGCTGCCTTAGATATTTTGCCTCGACGTTATGAAAGAAAATTTACCATATGATCGAGCATGCGCAGTTAAAAATTCTTTACTACAAATACTCACATTTCCACAGATATTCAAGGTATTTACTTCAAATTTTAATACGATGTTTTTCCAGCATACTTTCGAGTATTCTGTAAGATTCGAAAAATTTGCTGTAAAACTCTGCATGTTATAAGCAAAAAACATGCGAAACATTTGGGATGTTTCAAAGAAACCTTTACATCTTCTCGAATATCATTACAATTTTAACAAAAATGCATATAAGCAATGTGCAGAAAAAGCAAAACGAATGATTAAAGCTTCAAATCTTTATCATATCCCTGTGAAACGGGGTGAGCCAAAATTATTTTCTTCTTCATGAATTTGTGGACGGTCCCTTAAATGTCCTCGTGAGGAAATCTTCACTGTAAAATGTGAACAGCACCATTGTACCTCCTACAATTCTCCACAAATGATTTTGAACCATTGTATTAAAATTAGCTCCAAATGTATTCTAAAGTTAACTCTTAATTTTTTAGCAATCTTGCAATACTTTTGGCCAGTAGCTTATACCTATCTGTAAGGCTTAAAACTTAGCTATTGGGCCACGTTTAGATTGGACTCCTAGTATATACCTGAAATTTTGAGTGATTTGGATGTAATCTTCAGGTATCGTTGGTATTTTTATATTGTAGATGTTGATATTCATCTTTCGTCTACCAATGCTGCCTAACTTCAAAGAAGAAGAATAAAGGAAGTGACTGAAAGGAAATTCTTTTACCATTCTTATCTGTATGTATAATTTTCACTACTTTGCTTCGGTCTTCTGTTAACACTGAGCTTTAAGAGTCTCTTTAAATTACTGAATCAACGACTTCTTATCAATTGCGTTCCAAATTAATGGCAAGCCGGAATCAATTATAAAACGTCACGCCACGACTTTGACTCTCGCTACCTGAGATTTGGCTTTATAACCAATAACCAAGACTCAGGGACCATTAACTCAGAACGGTCATAGACTGGAATCAATTAAATTGTTATCTCAGATGGTATATATATCAATCAATACCTTGCGAAGTCTTCAATTAAATATTTGTAATGGCTTAAAGGGAAGGGTGTGCACTTCTTCAAAAATAAAAAAATACGTCAACATCAACATTATAACACATACGAGCATATCATAAATCGTAATTTTCTGGTTACAGACAAAAGTGCTTTAAAGTAAGAAAAGAAATCAGATGACCCAATTTCAAAAGTTTAAGTTCAGAAAAAACTGTTATGTTGCTATTATTCAGCAAGCAAAGAGGGAAAAAATAAGACGAACTTGAAACTTGACATCTTCAAAAACGTGCAAAAAATACAAATTCGTGATAACAGAAGTTAAGAATGACAAGAACTGAAACACATAATACTACTAATACAAATGATGAACATGACTCAAAAAGCACAGCATAATTTTAGAAAAGAGTATCTCAATGTTTAGTGGCAAGAAACAGAATATACCAGGTAATCCAAAAGTCAGGAAAAAAATCAATAATTCAAAACGAATACAGGGAAAAAGATGAGATTTTCGACGAATAGATGGGAAAGAAGCCGGATTTTTTTAGACGAAAACAGAGGAGAATGCTTGAATAGTTCTCTATTCGACTAACAGATGGCTTACAAGTGACAAGCCGTTTACAAGTCACAATTGAGATTAAAGCTATTCAATGTGCTGTTCGTCATTCAGCAGCGCATCTGTCAGACGAGGAACGACACAGCATTAAACAACATCTGTTGCGGTATGGCAGACACATGTTGTCAGATGACATCTTTCAGTGTTGGCACTGATGGTAGTGTGTCGCAGTACACATTTCACTTCAAGAATCCCCACAACCAAAAGTCGCAAGGTGTGAGATCGGAAAATTTGGGATGCCATGTGAGTTAAAAAGATCAGCGGATAACACGATCTTCCCCAGACCGCAGGCGTTGCACAGACGCAGCCATAAGGGGCCAAGTGACTTCCTCGAAAAAGAAGTGATTTATTTCTTTCAAAGAAAAGTAAAGAAAGGAAAATGGAAATAACATTTTTTTTTTGCTTTTGTCATAAAATGTTCGGCTTTTACGCCATCCGTTCTATACAAATCGCAACTTTTTATACTTATTCGTTTTCATCAATTTCTTAGTTTTTCGTGATTTTTTGACCTCCAATTATTTTATATAAGACAATAATATAAATCAGTGTATTAATAACTACGTAAGAAATTAATTCAATAATTGTGCTGAAACAAAAACGCTATGGCAAGGTTTGCCATCACCAATTGCAAATATCAAAACATTTTGTTAAATTGAATCGTTTCTTTTCGGAATTAAAAATAATTAAATTAATTCATTTTTATTGCATACTGGCAATAACAATCGTCTTTTGATTTAATTTTGGAAATGTAAAAATTCTGTATTCTTTTCAACTTCAGTCAGCTGGCTCCTATATCAAGCATATTCTACATTAAAATAAGAATTAAATTTTTTGAATTTTTTTTTATCGACTGATAAAAATAAGATATTTTTTATCTTACTGATAAAAATAAGCTCCTAGTGTGTGCAATTCATGAAATATTTTTTTCAAAAAATTTGACCGTCAATAATTTTTTTGAACTCACCTCTATAATCCGGAATGTACAGAAAATGAACGACCAGACTTTGAATTCTCAAGGTACCCGGTTTCCACAGCAATAGTTGTTAGTTTACTGTGTTGTTTCTTGCTGATTTCCTTTGGTTTCGATACAGAATTCTTGCACCTGTCGAAGAAAATCTGACCTTATACAGAATGATTCCTCTTTCAAATAATTGAGTTTATCTTTACCAAACAGTGGAGTTATCCCCCATAAAAATGTGTACATTACCTAAGAACATATTTCGGAAATGTCTGAAAATTAATGTGTCATCATAGAAATCGTGTGCCAGATTGCCTTCCTGAATTAAATGTTGAATAACATTTCCTTTATGACTCGCATTTTTAAATTTATTTTTGAGATTTATTTATTTGTCAGTTTGTTTGCAAATAAGGAACTTGTCAGCTGTTTGGAACGTACTTTAGGATTTAATTTAGGAGTCCATTCTGGTACCCCCGGTTGGGTTGGGAGACGTCACTTTTCCCGTTGTTAACGTGCGGAAAAAGTGACGTCTCCCATCCCAACCGGGGGTACCAGAATAGACCCGTTAGTTGTATTAACGTTATATAATGTATTAAATTTTGGGACGGATCTAATAATTTGAACCATGGTCATATAACGAGAACGACAACGGGTCGCGCACCAGGTACACAAGCACGGCGGATCTTCAGTGGAATCAGGTTTCGAACCTGGATCACTCGGGTTCTTAAGCCGAGACCTTACCACTAGGTCATTCTGCCCAAGAACTTTAGCATTTTTTAAAACATCCATCTAAATATTCCTGAACCATTATAAGACCAGGGTTTAGTTTAGTTATATTAACGTCCCGTTTTTTCAAAGCAACACGAGGCTATTTTGGGACTGACTTTGGGACCGTAACTTTGAACCGAATTCAGGTGATGACTCCTGAACTGGAATCCCCTCTGCAAACTTCCATACCACACAAACGGGAGGGCGTTTGACCATTACGTATGATTTAGCGGACCCCATACACGACGGATCTTGAATGAAATTGGGTTTCGAACCTGCTACCCTCCTGTCCCGAAGCCGAGAGCTTACGACTAGGCCATCGCGGCACTATTATAAGACAAGAATCCTTAATTTTTAAATCAAAAATATGATGAATGATGATTAGCTACAGTCAAACTCTGGCACAACGAACCCGGGATATAACGATCCCACGGTTATAACGGTATATAATTTTTCAAATGGCTCCTGCAGAATTCCTATGTCACTGATGTATTTTCAAATGCTTGTGGTGATCTTCATAAGTTGGGAATCCAGATATAGTGAAATAAAATTTTCCACTTTGAAGCTTAGTTTCAGTTCTTTAGCGGAAAATCACTACATCTAATCAAACTTTACCGAAATAAATGCAAATACCCTGCAATGCAATTTTAATTAATGCAATTACCTGTTTAATTTCTTAAGAAAAAATATTCAATTTATTATTGTCTATTACTAATTGCAATTTAGTGTAATTCATTTCTTCAACTCAGAAATGCATTTAAGGATGATAAGAAATCTTGTGCAGCCAATATTTGAAGAATCAGGTATAGTGAATTCTCGGTTATAGTCTTGAAAACCAAAGATATAATTTTCGACCAATTTTCACAAAACTCGAGATTAAGACTATTGATAGGAATATATAACATTATAGATAAGTAATTTATTAATTAATATAATTGATATAATTAATGTAATAATTAATATAATAATATAATTAATACATTGAATTAATATAATAATATAATTAATACATTGAATTAATATAATAATATAATTAATACATTGAATTAATATAATTAACTAATATAATTAATTATTCATAATTAATTGATGACATTATATTACTATACAAAGCACTGGACAGCGGGATTTAAGGAATGGAGAAAACCTTTTTCATAAATAAAATGGCGCGGGGTCTCAAGGGGTCATATCGAATTTCAGAATCGGTCCATTGAGAGTTCGTTATTCGAAGTTAGAATGAGTTATGATTTCGTTATGAAAGTTCTAATTATTGTTTGTAGAATTATTACCAAATTTTTAGTTTAAACAGAATTAGCAAAGTAATTGACTTTTATCGGATAGATATTGAGATTGAAAATAAACTTAGATTTGAAATTCCTACCCCCCTCTGGAAGTTCGAAAAGGGGGAAATGGCTCAAGTGCTGCTTCACGGTTTAAAATTGGAAATGGAACGTAAATGTCCCTAAACTAAACTAAACCTTACACTCCTCAAATGATTTTTACGTTTCACAAAATGGAGCAGTATTCGAAAGGGTAAATGATTTTTTTCTAGTAAAGAAAGAAATTAGAAAATTTATAAGAATTGAGAAGCAGAATTGCAGAACTACAAGCAAAGAATGCTTTGTTCATCCAAACTTTTGCTATTCATTTTCTGGTAAAAAATTTAATTATGGAACAGTATAAGGTAAAAATAATAGCAAATTAATTCAGTATAGGGAAAGAAGTGACTTTAAAAAATAATTAATCTATATTAGAAATTTTTCAATAACAAACCTAAAAGCCTATCAGAAGCGTTTTAAACTTATTAGGGGCATTTGGCGCAAAAACTCTTGGAGTCCCCTGAAGATATCACGCATGTGTACTTATAGATTTCGACTTGTAAGGGACATATTGAAATGCTGTAATTTCGCATAATTTTAATCCCCGAGGTAATTCTTCTATTAATAATAATTTCTAAATTATTTAGTTGTTCCATAGTTTAATTAGTTTTTCTTCATAATTAGGATACTTTGAATGCAAGGATTTTAAATTTATGTTTGAAATTTGCACACACGTAAATATTTTCATAAGCACTAACGGCATCGGAACTGAAATAGCTTTTGATAGGGTCAAGTATACCTAAATTTTTAGGGTCAAGTAATCACAAACTTGACTTTTTCTAAATAGTCTAGGAATTAAACCATTTAGAATTAAGATTCTGCATAACATAGTATATCAAATTAAAGCTAGAAGTAAGCTTAAAACTCAGAAATATTTTAATTCATCATATATTCAATACAAAACTTCCTATTCACTGAGGAATGAAAAAGTGAAAATTTACTTTTGTACACCCAAAATATATTTACCTACACACCATTACGAAGGCTTTCCAGCTTGGAATGATAACCCACTCCAATAGACCATATGACAAAAGGTCAAATAAATATGGCACACAAAAATTACCAATTATCTCACAAACTGAAAAAATCACGAAGGGTCAAGTATCAATAGGGGTCAAGTATCCCTAGTTTCCCTTTACTACCCACGTTGCCACTATCATTAGAATTAACATACTCCCGCATTTCTACTGGATAATCCGGATTTTAAGCTCACGTTCGGACCAGTATCAGAATTTTCCACATGTCTGGATTTACGCAAGTGAATGCGGTGTGAGAGAAATTGGGATGCAACTGCCCAAATTCCACATATTCGAAAAGCTGGCGTCATTCGATCAATAAAAGAAAATTCATTGTTTACACTGTTTGCATCTATTGTTGATGAGAGAGTGGATCAGCCTTCTTACACAGACAACAGTTCCTTCTGATAATTAAACATTTTGACAATTTTTTCAGATTCTCTTTTTCATCAATATAAATTTGAATTACTAAACATTAATATAAGTTGTAGTTATACAACTAAAACTCTCATACATACGGACGCCAGTGAATATGGTATTGGCGCCGTTATTGTGCAAATACATTAACATTAACATCACTGTATTACCCCGAGCTCGGAACACAAAGGGTTCCCTGTCAGTTGAATGGGTATACGTGGAAGGAAGTGTATGCCATGCTCTCGTAGGGTGACATGATTGACATCAAATCTGTCCTTGCTTCCTTTAAGTCCTCCTGACCCGCGTGCGATGTGTCCAAAGGTAACAGAGGCTTTCTAAGATGGGTTCAGTTGAACACAAACTGTCCATATGGGGAATCGATTGGATTTACGGGAATTTTGAAGTGTTGAAAAATTATTATTTATTGTATGAGAAACAACACAATACAATTGACCTGAGATGAAATTGGCAAGAAAAAATTGGTTGCTTAATATTGGGAGGGATAATAGACCAGTAACACATTTAATCTAGGTTATATGCAAGGAAAAGATACATACATACAATAAACATACTGAAAATCTATGTACAAAAATATACAGTGTAGAACAAAATGACAAATAATAAAATTACAGCACTAAAACTTATGAAAAAGGAAAACTTTAAAATTTGATCTAATAATAACATGGTGAAGATAATGCATGGAAAGGAGAGCTAAATTTAAAAAAAATGAAATCTACGCAAAAATTGAACATGACATGCAATTTGAGCAGAGGAGGAGTCCAATGAGAGTCCGAAAAATCCGTTGACTGAGTGCCGATTGATTTTGAAGGTCTCAATAGTTTGAAACCTTCGAAACATTGAAGTTAGTTGGGTGGGAAGAGAATGCCTTCATTCTTAGAGATAAAGTTAATCAGTTTTCTCATTTTAATTCTTAAAAATGGGTTGTTGAGGACTATTTTCCACAAGAGATGTTCAAGGTCGTTTGAGGCTAGGTAAAATGATCTGAGCTTGTAAGACTATAGCTGGTTGCGAAGTGCAGAGGGTTTCCCAACTTGCCAGAACCACAGCAATCGGTGGTACTGAGGCCAAATCTCTTAAAGTAAATTGGGAATGGGACATGCCCCGTTGCAAACATGATTTCTGGTAGTTGCCACGGTGCTGGGAAAGTCTTGAACTTTGGAAGGATGAGGTAGACGTTCCTTCCAGTGTCACCGTTGCCCCATTCATTTTGCTAGAGTTGGGTGGATATGGCATGAAGTTTCTTTTTGAGGAATCTCCTGGGTGCTGGATATTGTATTGGGATTCCTTTCAAGGTAGCTTTCTTTGCAAGGAGATCCCCTGCCTCGTTATCCGCATGTCCCACATGCGCTTTAATCCAGCCGAGTTTAATATTTGGAGAGTTGAGTGTGATTTTAAAATTATGATAAAAACATTGAGGGTAGGTAAGGCAAACAGAAACAAGACACTTTTGGAATAGAATATGGTGTCACAAATGCAAAGTGAACTGCTAGAGGGCTTTCTTTGCCAATAAATTAAGTGTTGTTATTACTTTGTCGTTAACCTATTTTGCGCATTTTATCTGGTATATCCTTCTCTCTTACATAATTCACGGAAAAACTCCACCTGTCTCGTGCCCTTTTGCGCTAGCAATCCCTGCTCTATTTTAAAAATGACTTATTTCTGTATGCCTGATCTGCCCTTGAAGATTGCCCCATTATTTTATAGTCACCCTTTATATTTTATGAGTAGTTCTGTCAAATGTTTTAATCTAAAGGAATTATAATTCTAGAAAATACTTTGCATGATCTCTTTTAAGATCCATTGATGCAATGCTGTTCTATTTACAACAAGTCACAAGGCTCAGATCTCCTCCTTACATGACACTGTTTATTCGGGGAACAACCATTGGTTACATTTCATCTTCCTGTCCGAATAAACGCAAAAAGTACTCAGATGTATGTAGGAAAGATGACTCACTTTGAAAAAAACCCATAGCATTGACTTTTACATTCTGACAACAAATAGAAATTTTCTTACTCGCGCAGCAACTTAAGCCCCAGAAAATGCAAATGTCAACGAGTAGATGTATGTTTAATGGATTTTACCTATTTTATATTCAGTGACAAAATGTTTACGATTTTTTACATACTTAGAAATAATATTCTAAATGAAAAAAAG